AATTTTTTTAATTTTTAAATTAAAATATCTTAACAACTATTTAATCAAATTTGCTAAAAATTTTTTTATTTTAATCTTAAAATTATATAGAATTAAAATAAAAATTTTTTTATTAAATTTAATAAGATAATTACCAAGATATTTAAACTTGAAGTCAAGAAAACTTTTACTTAGAAAAAATTTGGCTCTTTTTTATTGATTTACCCCCATTAGAGTTCTGACCCAAATGCAATTTTCTGACCCGGGTCACTTGTATAAATTAAAATTAGGTAACCCAAGTGAATATGGGTTGCATAAAAAACTATTAAAAATAGAAAATAATTAAGTATTGACAATTGTACAACCCAAACTATTTTTATTAGTACTTTAAAATAAAATCGCTACTTGCATTTTTTATTAACAAAAAAAAATTTAAAACAATGAAATTGCATCAGAATTCCTTTTTATAAACATCATTTTGTTTACAAGCCTTGGATTTAATCGGTTGTGCTTAGCAGTAATAAGATTACCCACATCCGAAAATAACCTTTCACTGGGCACAAAAAATACAAAAATAGATAAGTATTTTCTGGCCAATTTTGCTACAGTAGGAAATTTCTTTTTCCAATTCACCTACCAATCAAATAGATTCTTATTATCTTTAGCAAGAGGTGTTTATATAGGATCCAAGTAATATTCTAATTCATCTAAAGGACCAAAGTTAAGATTGTTTGTAAAAGTGCCAAAAATTGATGAATATAATCGACCACGACAAATATCACTATTTTTTGAAGTTTCGAATATTGATACTGCTGTTTGTTCTAAATTTGTAGCAATTAATAATTCAAATTGACGTGTTAATTCAGCCTTAGCTTCTTCCTAAGTTTTTTCATCCCAGCTAGATAGTGTTTTCAAGCGTGGATCCAAAAGGGATGCTAACAAACCAGTTATTATAGATTCACTCCAGTAATTAAACAAGAAGTTATAAATGATACTTTGTATTGTTTTAATTACTTGAGCATTTTGTAATAAATTGTTTGACGAATTAGTAGGGGTAACTCTATTTGAATCTATTTGGTGATGGTTTGTTAAAGTTTTGGAAATTTCAAAGTCTAATTCATTGCTATCATCATCAGATGATTCTTCGTGGCGAAAGCTTGGCATATCTTCTAAATAAATTTAAAATTTTAATAAATTATTAATAAAGTTAATTGCTAATGCCATACTAATAAGCCGTATCTGGCTTATCCTCTTTATTTAAAATATCATCTGTTATTTCAACATTAGCAAATATATACTTAAGGGTTTGAATTAAAGGGGAAGGAATTAATAAAGTAGCATATTTAGAGCCACTAAAATAGGTAGTCACATTATCAAATGGTTCCATCAAAGTTATAATCTGACTTAATAAATCTTACTCATGAGGTAATAAAAGTAATTTTTTTAGCTTTCAACTATCAGCTCTATTATCCGAATTATCTGATAAAAGTAATGTTGCATCTAACTATTCAATTGCTTTATGCAATTTAATCAGCCATTTTCATGTATGGTACTTTGAGTTTCATCTTGTCTTCACATCTGCGATACTTCATAAAATAGGTTCTTCAGAACCTGCAATATTTACTGGCAAGTCATCTGAATTGCTATCATTGGAATTGGTATTTCAGTCAAATTATAGTTTTGGGTTTGTGAACGATGCTGATATTCTTGTTGTGTATTATCTAAATGCTTATTTTGCTTGGGATATTTAGTAAAAAATTTAACTAATTTTTTAATTCTTTTAATGTAATAATTTGTTTTTTTAAAAGCACGAGTAACTAAAAGTTGCAAAGTGTGAGCTGCACAGGGCAGATGTTTAACACCTTCCTACAATCTTATTGCTTTAACCATATTACTACCGTTGTCTGTTATAATACAACTAATTTTTCCATCTAACCCAAATTTAAAAACTTTTTTTTTTAAAATCACAACTATATTTTTAGCTGAATATAGATATGGTATATGCTCCATGCAAAGAAAACAATTATATATTTTAAAATCATCTGATAGCCAATGGAGCGTTATGCCTATATATCCATAGCTACTTCTCGAGGTTCACAGATTAGTTGTTAAAGATGCTGATTCACATGTATTGTCTAATAATTTTTTTAAATTGTTCACTGCATTGGGATAGTTGCTAATAATTTCTTTCTTTATTTCTTTATCAGTAGGAAGACGAAAGGCCAAATCAATAATTTTCATCATCTTCTAGTAACCCTTTCCTTTAATAGTATTAAATGACACATTGTCAATGACAATCCATTTGGTTATTGCCTGTCGAATCTCACGATTTCATGATTCTTTATACATTTT